ACGCGCAGCGCAGCCTGGCCGAAGCAGCATGTGATGTACGGGCGAAGGGGGACGAGCCCGCCGAAAAGGGTCGTCTTGGGCGTCTGATGGACTGCGCGCGCACCATGCTACGCCATGCGGAAAAAAACAAGCATACAAAATGGGGCAGGGGGGGGCAAGGAGAATCCGATGGAATTTGCGCATACGAGAACTACTGCTCAGTCGGGACAGACGTCAGCTTGGAATGAGAACCTCGCGAAGCCACTGCGAGCCCATAGAGAGTGCGTCAGCGGCAATGGTCGCGATGGTTGCCTTGGGGGCGCGCGCGCAGTTCTTCGCGCCCGCGCGCGAGAGCGACGCGCGCGCGTGCACGCAAGGTGGCGCGTGGTGTGGGTATCTCTACTGATGCACGCTGACTCGTCTGCAATATATTTCTCAGGATGCGTCCGAACCGCAATTGTGCGACTGGCGAATGCGATGCGGGTGCCACATTCAAACAGGCTCGCGCCGATGCTCCCTTCGGGGAGGCGTCGTCGGTGAATCCCTGCGCGCATCGAGCGGCAAGTCCGGGCGGCATGCACTGGCACTTCGGCGCGCGACGCCGCGTTGCCTCAGCGCGCCCTGGGGGGGGGGGGGGCACTTCGCCCCGCAGAGATGGATGCGCCTAAAGCCGCTGGGACTGGCGACGCGGCGTCGCAGCCCTTTGCGACGTGGCCAGCAGCGGGGCGCAGGCACTGCCCACGAGGACACGGGCCGATCACCGCGCGGGAAATGCCGACCGCTCTGTGCATGAGCAGCCATTCGCGGGCCATTGAAATCGCCGGCGCGGGCGCAACTCCGGGATGATGCCATTGGGGCGGAAGGGCAAGTTTGCGCGACCCCCTTCAGCCGCTGTTGTAAAAGGGGTCGATCTAAAACTCAGAATGCGGGCGGCCGCCCGAGCATGCCGCGACGATGTCGTGAACTACGCGGCGGAACAGCGGCATGGCGTGGACGGGCGCTGCCAGCGGGAAGGCGCACGCGCGCGCGGCCCGACGGAAGGCCGCGGACCTGAAGAAGAAACGCCTGCGGCCAGGGCGCCAGCAAGTCAGTGCTGCACGGGCGTCGCGATAACCGAACGTGGAGCGGATGCACTTGGCGACGTGCATCGCGGGCGCCTGCTCGTCGACGGTCTCATTCGCGATGCGGGGCACTCACTGGTTGGACTCCGCGTCGCGGCAAACTTCACAATCTCGAGCCGCGCGCCCCGTGCTGCCGCAGTACTGCGCCTGTCGTCGGCGCAGCGTCGCCGCAGTATCCATGCGCGCGCGAGTCTCGCGGTGGCATCTCTGTTTAGCTTCTGCCTGATGAGGCGTCACGAACCTAGGTCATTCGGCAAATCGATAATCCGGGTGCCAGCCCGCCCCGTTCCTGACCCTGCCAATCATCGCATCCATCCCAACCTGTCCGCTTATCGCAACTGCACCAAGCATTGCCCCCATCGACATACTTCGACATCATAAGCGCTGCGTATGTAGCAATCACAACCGCTCCAAATTCAGTGCATGACCCGCGGAGCAAAACACCTTTGAAGGCACTGTAGGTCGACAGCGTTTCAACTCACGCGTTCCAACATTGTCCTTGCTTTTCTAGCTGCCGCGCGACAGCCATTAGACATTTCACATCGGAAACAGAGGACTTGATCACATCTCTTCCGACGATCGGGAAATATGCGAGGGTCACGTGCTTTGCGTTCTTGACGCTTCTTCGAGTTCGACCGTTGCTCTCCTTCGTAAAATCCGAAACGTCTGCCCCCCCCCCCCCCCCCCCCTGGCATCTGCAAGTGCCCCCATTAACTTCACTTCTGGCATGCAGCATAAGATCCGTGACATGTCAACCAAACGCTGCCAGGCACTTCCGCGCAGAAGATGCGATGGGCCTTAAAGCAGCGCTGCCTTGAAATTTCCAATACGCAACATTTCCATCATCCTCGCGGCCACGACGTTGAAATCTTGACCCCGGGCCATCCACATACTCCAGAATTGACGCCTGGAGCTTGACGTGGGAAACTGACTCGACCCTGCCTCGGCTTGCGATGCGTGGGCATGTGATCCCTGAGTGGGTTCCCCGTTTGGCATGAGGATGGTGGCTCCGATCCTCACATGGTGCATCCATACATACGTATATGTACATCCATGTACAGTGGTACGTATATGTGTTCACGGTGCTGCATGGTGGTTGTTATTTCTTTTGTCTCTCTCTCTCTCTCTCTCTCTCCCGTGCTCCTGGATGTGTGTGTGTCCCCTGTGTCTGGACTGGCTTCAAAAGCTGACCACTGATCTTATTTGTCCGCGTCAGGGTAACATTGGCTCTTGCTGCCTGTAGAGCTGGAATATCGCCAAATGGCCACAGCCGCTCTGTTCTACTCAAGTGGCAAAGCATAGCGGTTCCCTTTTGAAGCACCACGTGCCATCGTCACAAGTATGTATCGGAATTTGGCATGCCCTACGGCCCTTCATTCGGCATCCTCTGACCCAGAGGCTCTGGTGAAATAAAGCGGTGATGTGATTCGATTTCTGATTGGCTCACCCATTCCTAAAAGTTGGAGGGTGTGCCCTGTCTTGCACGACGTCGCGTTTAGCGTAGATGCAGAGCCTGGGGAATTCACTGGAAAGAACCGTCCCTTGATTGAGCACAACTGCTTCTACATCGTGTCGCTGGCGAAATGGATGCGCTGGCTGTATCTTACCTTGAAGCTGGCCTCGGCGGCTGCGGCGATGACATGTTCTACTGATGCTGATTCTTCGCTTCCTAAAACTCATCAGAAGGCTGCTGCTCTTGCTTGGTGGGCCAGCTATGCTGTTTGAGCGCGCATAACTTAGAAATTGTTAGAGCGTGTGCACAAATACTTCCGAACCAGCGTGGCAATGCATCGTGACCACTAGCATCGCTACTTCTACTTACTGGAAGTGAAATGTTAGCAAGCGTTGGCCACAACCAGCGCGCCATTGCACAGGAGAGGTGAAACGTATGCTGTGTAAGCTATGTGGTGATAGCTATGTCGTGTAAGCTATGTGGTGCGGCCTTAGGAGGTGCAAACCATGCTGTGCAAGCCATGTGGATCAAGCTGTATCGTGTAAACTAGGCAATGGAATGGAGGTCAGATCAAATGCGTTCCATTAAGCTATGTGACGTAAGCTATGTTGTGTACGATCTGCAGTGTAGGCTAGGCTGTGTGCCGTAAGCTAATGAGCTACGTCGTGAAAGCTCCGAGCATGGGGCGCCCACGAGGCGCGCACGAGGCGGCACGGGCGGCAACGTGGAGCAACAAGGCGCGCCCACGAGGCGCCCACGAGGGGCACGGGCCGCAACGTGGCGGACACCCAGAATAGTCAAGCAATTGTTTAACGAAGAGAAGTAAGAGCCCCATCCCCTGAACGTAACCATTGCTTAGCAAATGTCAGCCAGCGTGGACCCCAAGCAGGAAGATATTTCACTATGGACGTGTAAGCTATGAGGCGCAAGCTATGTGGTGTAAGATATGCTAGTGCATGCTATGTGGCGTAAGCTATGTGATGGCGCGGCAGCAGTGCGGCAACGAGCGGCAACGTTGCGAATCATCGGTTGACCCCCAAGCGGCAACAAGAAAGGAACGGGAACGGGCGCAAATGGGCGGCAGCGTGGCGAGTCTCGCCGGACCCTTCAAGCAGCACCGAGGCGGGAACGGGCGGCAACGTGGCGAATCCTCGGCCCAACCTCTCCAACCACGAGGGGGCCACGGGCGGCGACGCAACCTGAGCAGACCTTCCAAGTGGGCGGCAACGAGGCGGCCACGAGGCGGACACGGGAAACGACGTGGAGAAGCCTCGGCGGACCCCCCTAGCGGGCGGCAACGAGGCGGCCACGGGCGGCGACGCGGCGAAACCTCGGCAGACCCCCCAAGTGGGCGGCAACGAGGCAGCCACCAGGCGGCCACGAGCGGCGACGCGGCGAAACCTCGGCCGACCCTTCCCATTCTGCACGGTGGGGGCATTGGATATGGAACCCTTAGACAAGGAATCCAGGGTCTGGAGGCCAGTGGAACTCTAATCGAGGCTTGGCCATGGATATCACCGCCGCCCTCATCAGATAAGGGATCCTCCAGGGTCTGCAGCATCTTGGGCGCATTCCTTACTCCAACGCCCCCACCGTAGCGGCGTGAGTGAGATCCACTAAGTGCAAGCACTGCTTGGATAAGCGGAGCATGCTGCTTTGCTTGCTGGGCGGCACTCCTCCTGACAGCCAGGAACCGTGCACAGCTGCCGTTGTGGCTGAGAAGCCTTGCGATGGCTGATGTTGCTGATATGGTTGACCCTACCATACTCCAACTAAGGTCTGGCAATGTGTGTCTGCTACAGCGTTTCAATACTCGGGAATTTGAGCGAGTGGCGCACTCCGCTATCGCGTCAAGGTTCGGACGCGGATGTGCGAGTCGACCAACAGTCCATGGTATTGAGCCAGCACAGTAGCACAAGAGGATACTGATGCCTTTATCTAGGTAGCGCGTGTGACTCGACAGTGAATCTTGAACATGTCGAGGCGGGAGGGGAGCGGAGGAGGGGGAGGGAGGAGGATATAGAAGGAAGGATCTACCCATTCAAGAGAGGCGATACACGGTGGGGCACGAGCACGGATGTAAACGCAGAGCGATGGGCGAGACAACAATTCCTCACAAACGCTATGCTGGACCTGGCCCCGAACCCCGTCCCACGATGTTCAGCCTCATGTTGCTCCTGCTGCTGCAGATGCTACTCCTGCCCCGGAGGGCGAGGCAAGGGACGAACTCACCCTCCGTCCTCTTGCCCTTCCTCCTCCTCACCCTCCTCGTCCCCCTCCGAATCATCACCATCATCAGCACCAGCATCACCATCCTCTACGTCCTCCTCATTCATCTCCTTCTCCTGCTCATGCCCACTTTCCTCACCACCCCTCCTCCGAACCCTTCTGCCAGGCTTTGCCCAAGCCGAGGCCGCCAGGAGGTCGATGCAGCGGCGGCATCCCGCCTTTATGCCGATCGCCGTGCCTGTCCGTGGCATTGCTCGCGTTGGCGTCGACGCGGGAGGCCTCCTTGCGCCGCCGCACTGTGGCCGGGGGCCTCCTCCCCCCACCCCGCCCGTTTTCCTCCGCGCTCCCCTGTGGACTCCTACTGCACGCCTCCTGCTGCCTGCTGCTGCCCGTGGTCCGCCTCATCCTCCTCCTCCTCCTCCTCCTCCTCCTCCTTCTCATCATCCTCATCCTAATCCTCATCCTCATCATCATCATCAACATCATCATCATCATCATCATCATCATCATCATCATCATCATCATCATCATCATCATCATCATCATCAACATCATCATCATCCTCATCCTCATCCTCATCCTCATCATCATCATCATCATCATCATCATCCTCCTCCTCCTCCTCCTCCTCCTCCTCCTCCTCATCCTCGTCCTCCTCCTCCCTCCTCCTCCTCCTCCTCCTCCTCCTCCTCCTCCTCCTCCTCCTCCTCCTCCTCCTCCTCGTGCCCCTCCTCGTGCTCCTCTTCCTCCGCCGCCTCCCCCACCTCTGGGCTCTGGGAGCGGAGTCAGGTGGGGGGAAGGGGGGGACGCAGAGAAACAGGGAGGGCAAAGAGGCGGGAAGCGATGGACGGAAAAGGCATCGGACAAGGCTTGCCTTTTGCAGGAGCAGCAGCCGCAGCAGCAGCAGCAGGAGCAGGAGCAGAAGGAGTGGTCAGGAGGAGGAGCGCGTGGGGAGAGAGCAACCGCGCCCTGACTCTGCTGCCGGCACGTCTCGGGTCTGCTGACACCACGCTTGGCTCCAGCGGGCTGCAGTGTGGTGAGTCCAGACTCATCGCCACGTCTTCGCACCTGGAGGCTGCCACGTCAAAACCACTGGGGAGCGGGCGGGCAGAGGGCACCCTTGCAAGGGTCAGGGTCGCGCGCGTGAAGAGGAGGAGGAGGAGGAGGAAAAGGAAAAGGAGGAGGAGGAGGAGGAAAAGGATGAGGAGGAGGAGGAGGAGGTGGAGGAGAAGGGAGGAGAAGGGAGGAGGAGGAGGAGGAGGAGGAGGAGGAGGAGGGAGGAGAAGGAGGAGGAGGAGAAGGTGGAGGTGGCGGAGGAGGAGGAGGAGGAGGAGGAGGTGGTGGAGGAGGAGGAGGAGGAGGGGAGGAGGAGGGGAGAGGACGGAGAAGGAGGAGGAGGAGGAGGAGGAGGAGGAGGAGGAGGAGGAGGAGCCCCCCTGCGCCCGCTGCCCTCGACGGGCCCCCAGGCCGCCCTGGGACGGGGAGAACTTGGCACGCTCAGCTCGGCCTCTGGCGGTGCTCCCCCTCTCCAGTGCGTGGAGACGGCCCAGGGGCCGTCCCCGGGGGCCTGTGGGGGCCTGCCGGGCGCACCTCGGGGACTCCTCCCCCTCCTCCTCCTCCTCCTCCTCCTCCTCCTCCTCCTCCTCCTCCTCCTCCTCGTCCTCGTCCTCCTCCTCCTCCTCCTCCTCCTCCTCGCTGTCCGGGCGCAGCCCGTAGCATTGCCAGTGTGCGCTGCAGCCCCGTCTCGTGCTGCAGCGCTCGCGCCTGTGTCTGCGCAGTGCAGCGGTTCAGCTCCCTGCCTCCACCGTTTCGTCTCTTCCCCCGGGTCCGCGTTTGCTTGGCCAGATGCGGGGAAGCAACTGCAAGACCACAGTCGGCTAACCAGGTCTGGGATCAGGGCGCACCAGTGAACGGCCAAAGCCTGCCAGCGCCCTAAGATCATGGATGTGACCAAACCGACGGATTGGATGACGTCTGCCCGCTTCGAAGCTTGCTGCGCAGATTTACGCTGCTGAAGCCACCGATTGAATTGACTCGAGCGGCGCACACACTAGATGGGGAAGCCTCGCCACACTGGCAGAACAACATCCCGTCTACTTGTCTCCGCTTCTCTTTTGTTGGGCTCAAAACAACATCCGTCACGTGGCACCATGCTGCTTAAACCCCATCCAAGATGAATCGTGCATGTTATCCTCAATTTCCTCCTCCCCCCCCCTGCCCGACCCCACTCTGAGCGCGATCTCCCACTGGACATCCCGTTGTACAAATTCCGAGAGGCCATCATTGTTTGCTGAACGCGCGCCAAGCCTAGTTGGGAATAACAAGTGGAGGGAGCCAACGGGGAATCATGCGTATGATCAATGCGTGGAGAAACTGGGAAGGTAACTGATAACCACTGGACCTGCCTACCACGAGCCTCCCGACAACCCGAATAATACTCGGTGGAGGACGCCGCGGATGAGGAGGAAAGGGGAACTCTCCTGGGTGGACTGTGGCTGCTTTGGCTGCTTCGCGTCCGCCTTCGTCTCCTTCATGCTGCCGACCTCGGGAAGGACCGCGCGGACAGGTGTGGCAGAATGAAAAGGTGGGAGCACAGGGGGGGGACGGAGAGGGCAGGACCAAGCTAGGTGCGCTCGCGCCGCATGTGACATCATGTTCCTCCCTCCCATGCCTTCCCATTGCGATGATTGATTCTCTATCCACAGACGTGTGTCATAGCCGACCTGGAGCTCTATTAAGAACTCGTCGTACTTATTATGCGCAATCGAAACAGGGAGTCTGCGGACATGGGAGGAAGAGGGGTAGAAGGAGGAGGAAAAGGAGGCGGAGGAGGAGGAGCAGGAGAAGGAGGGGGAGGTGGGGGAGGAGACGGGTGAGCAGGAGAATTAGCAGCAGGACAAAGATGAGGAAGGAGGAGGACGAGAACGAAGAGCAGCAGCAGCAGGAACTGGAGCGGAAGGAGTGGGAGGAGCAAGCAGACAAGAGGAAGGTGGAGGAGGTGAAAAGACAAAAGAGAAGGGCGACAAGGATAAACAAACTCGGATGTAGAAGAGTGGCCAGCGCTAGGGCGAGAGAGTTTTTTTGAACGACGGGAGCACAACGCCAATCCAAAAGTGAGGCCCGTGAATCACCCAATCATATTCGAAAACCACATAGCGTCAAAAACAAACTAGCCCGATCCTGGGTGTAAGAAAAAAGACGCGGAGGGAGGTCAGATATCTTATGCACAGGGCCATGGGAGAGAGGAGAACAGTACTCATGCTTTGAAAGTATCAAGCAGGCGCAAGGCGGAGGAAGACAGAGGACGGAAGAAGACGGAAGAAAAAGGAATACGAAACGGGAGAGAGAGGAAGAAGAAGCAACCGTGTACCTATATGGATTCCGTTCCCCAGGAGGGGCGGGGGAGGGGGGGCGGAAGACGCGACGGGACACGACCCCCCCCCCGAAAACTTCCGCCGAAAGGGTCGGGAAGGCCGGAGGCGAAGGTTGCAGAGGGGCACTCCTCCGTGGACCGCGCTGGTCGTGTCTCTGGCTGCACACGCTGCGCTGCTTGCGACAGCTGCACACATTGAACACCTCAGCTGCCCCCGATACGCAGGACGCAACACGTAGCGCATTGATACGGAGCTCAACACGTAGGCTGAAAACCTGGGTCCGACGCGACACATTCGCCAACACGTGGTCCAATACGTGGAGCCGACACGCAGCATATCGACACGGACGTTTTGAGCACGGCCCGTGTTGCGTATCAAAACGTGCGTATCGAGGCAGCTAAGTTGAAAACATGTATCATAGCAGCCGCAGTTGCGGATGAGAGTGAGGGGGATGGTCTTCGGCAGTCTGCCTGCACCGAGTTCAGGCTGTAAAGAGCCCGCCGCCAGCGCCGATCTTGTTTCCCCAGATATGGCCTTGCATCGGGGCTCGGACACGGCCATGAACCTCCCGTTTTCGAAGCTGTCTCTGCCGGCCTCGCCCTTCACAGGGTGTTGTTGTTGATGTTGCTGGAGTCGTTGCTGCTGCTGTTGTTGATGTTGTTGTTGTCGTTGCTGCTGCTGGCGTTGCTGATAGTGCTGCTGTTGACGAGTATGCTGTTGCTGCTGCTGTTGACGGTGTCACTGTTGTTGTAGTCGTCGGTATGTTTGTCACTCGTGCGGATAGGGTGGTTACTGTTTTTGGTGATGGTATTGCTGTTGTTCCCAACCATCCTGTGGTGTTGGGTCCTCGTTTTGAAGAGACGGTGCCCCGCGTTCCCTCCTTCTCCTCCTCCCGCTGCCCCCTCCCTCCTGCCATCATCATCATCATCGTCATCATCATCATCATCGTCATCATCAACATCACCATGATATTCGGCGTCATCATCAGCATCACCCTCCGCATGTCTCTATTTCGGCACACCAATCACACGGTTCGTGGCCCCATAGGGAGCTCCACCGAAGCCCCCAGTGGCAGGGTTCGCATGGCGGCCCCGCCTCATTTTGGCGCACCCCTCACACGGTTCGTGGCCCCATAGGGAGCTCCACCGAAGGCCCCAGTGGCAGGGTTCGCATGGCGGCCCCGCCCATTTTGGCGCACCCCTCACGAGGATCGTGGCCCCATAGGGAGCTCCACCGAAGGCCTCAGTGGCAGGGTTCGCATGGCGGCCCCGCATCATTTTGGCGCACCCCTCACACGGTTCGTGGCCCCATAGGGAGCTCCACCGAAGGCCCCAGTGGCAGGGTTCGCATGGCGGCCCCGCCCCATTTTGGCGCACCCCTCACACGGTTCGTGGCCCCATAGGGAGCTCCACCGAAGGCCCCAGTGGCAGGGTTCGCATGGCGGCCCCGCCCCATTTTGGCGCACCCCTCACACGGTTCGTGGCCCCATAGGGAGCTCCACTAAAGGCTTCAGTGGCAGGGTTCGCATGGCGGCCCCGCCCCATTTTGGCGCACCCCTCACACGGTTCGTGGCCCCATAGGGAGCTCCACCGAAGGCCCCAGTGGCGGGGTTCGCATGGCGGCCCCGCCTCATTTTGGCGCACCCCTCACACGGATCGTGGCCCCATAGGGAGCTCCACCGAAGGCCTCAGTGGCAGGGTTCGCATGGCGGCCCCGCCCATTTTGGCGCACCCCTCACACGGTTCGTGGCCCCATAGGGAGCCCCACCGAAGGCCCCAGTGGCAGGGTTCGCATGGCGGCCCCGCCCATTTTGGCGCACCCCTCACACGGTTCGTGGCCCCATAGGGAGCTCCACCGAAGGCCTCAGTGGCAGGGTTCGCATGGCGGCCCCGCCCCATTTTGGCGCACCCCTCACACGGTTCGTGACCCCATAGGGAGCTCCACCGAAGGCCCCAGTGGCAGGGTTCGCATGGCGGCCCCGCCCCATTTTGGCGCACCCCTCACACGGTTCGTGGCCCCATAGGGAGCTCCACCGAAGGCCCCAGTGGCAGGGTTCGCATGGCGGCCCCGCCTCATTTTGGCGCACCCCTCACACGGTTCGTGGCCCCATAGGGAGCTCCACCGAAGGCCCCAGTGGCAGGGTTCGCATGGCGGCCCCGCCTCATTTTGGCGCACCCCTCACACGGTTCGTGGCCCCATAGGGAGCTCCACCGAAGGCCCCAGTGGCAGGGTTCGCATGGCGGCCCCGCCCCATATTGGCGCACCCCTCACACGGTTCGTGGCCCCGCAGGGACATAGAGAGCTCCACCGAAGGCCTCAGTGGCAGGGTTCGCATGGCGGCCCCGCCCCAGTGTGGCGCACCCCTCACACGGTTCGTGGCCACATTGGGAATGCTTTTTGCTTCGTCCCACTTGCCCTGCGGTATTCACGTTTGCATATGGTTGGGTCCTTCGCCAGGATAATTGTTGCTGTTGTAATTGGTGGTATTGGTGTTGTGGTTGTTGGTGCTGATGGTGTTGCTGTTGCTGTTGCTGCTGACGTTGCTGGTGCTGTTGTTGTGTTGTGTTGTTGGTGGTGTTGTTGTTTTGTGTTGTTGGTGTTAGTGATCAGGTTGGTGATGCTGTGGTTGTTGCTGTTGTGGGCCAAGCTGTTGCTGCTGTTGGCGGTGGTGGTGTTGTCGTTATGGCTGTCATCGTGTTGTTGGTGTTGGTCATGTTGTTGGTGCTGTTGTTGGTGGTGTTGGTGTTGTTGTTGCTGTTGTTGGTGTTGATGGTGCTATTGCTGTTTTTGGCGGTGCTGTTATGGTGTTCTTGTTGCTGCTGCTGCTGTTGTTGTTGTTGTGGTTGCTGCTGTTGTGGGCCAATTGTGCCTCGGGCGCCCTGGCCCCTCGAAAAGAGGCGACTCTGACGAGGATGGTGCCCCTCTGGAGGGGCTGAAGCCCTCTGCTGGCTCTGTGGGCCATTTGTGGTTCGGGCGCCAGTTATGCCTCGGGCGCCCCGCCCCTCGGAAAGTGGCGAACCTCACGAGGAAGGTTCCCCTCTGGAGGGTCTGGGGCCCTCTGCCCGCCATGTAAGCCAGGTGTGGTTCGGGCGCCCTGGCCCATCGGAAAGTGAAGACCCTCACGAGCATGGCGCCCCTCTCTAGGGGCTGAAGCCCTCTGCCGGCTCTTTGGGCCAGTTGTGTCTCGGGCACCTCTGCCCGCGGGAAGTGGCGACCCTCACGAGGATGGTGCCCCTCTGGAGGGGCGGGAAGCCTCTGCCGGCTCTGTGGGCCAGCTGTGCTTCGTGCATTACCTTATTTGGGGTCGACGTTGAGGTTATGGTTGAAACATTACACAACGAGTCCGAAATTGCTCACGCATTACACACTTACACAGCGGTCTTCGTCAGAGCAACGTGTGCTGATCGCGGGCGGGTCGACGCTGGGGAAATTTGACTGTATACGCACTACACAACGAGCCCGTAAGTGTTTACACATTGCACAACGAGCCCGCCGCAGGCGCCGATTTTCGTCAAAGCAACGTGTGCTGGTCGCGGGTGGGTCGACGTTGGGGCAATGTGTTTGTACCCATCACTCAACGAGCTCGTTGATTGTTTACACATAGCACAACGAGCCCGCCGCAGGCGCCGATTTTCGTCAAAGCAACGTGTGCTGGTCGCGGGTTGGTCGACCCTATGGGGCCAACAAACGTGTGAGGGGTGTGCCGGTATTGGTGGCGGGGACGCGTGTGATCAGAGCCACTGGGGCCTTGGGTGGGACTCCCTATGGGGCCACGAAACGTGCACGGGGTGTCCCGACATGGGCGGCGGGGACGCGTGTGATCACAGCCACTGAGGCCTTCGGTGAAGCTCTTTATGGGACCACAAAACATGCAAAAGCATGCAAAATGGGCGGCGGGGACGCGCGTGATCGCAGCCACTCAGGCCTTCGGCGAAGCTCCCTATGGGGCCAACAAGCGTGTGAGGGGTGTGCCGAAATTGGTGGCGGGGACGCATGTGGTCACAGCCACAGGGGCCTTCGCTTATGGGGCCACGAAACGCGTGACGTGCGTGCCGAAATGGATGGGGCCTTCGATAGGGGATCCCTGTGGGGCCACGAAGGGTGCATAAGTGTGCCGAATGGGTGGCGGGGCCGCGTGTGATCACAGTCACTGGGGCCTTCCGCGGAGCTCCCCATGGGGCTACGAAACGTTTGAGAGGTGTGCCGAAATTGATGGCGGGGGACACATGCGGGCGCAACCATTGGGGCCTTCGGTGGAGCTCCCTATGGGGACAAAAAGCGTGTGAGCGGTGTGCCGAAATGAGTGGCGGGGACGCGTGATCACAGCCACTGGGGCCTTCGGTGGGACTCCCTCTGGGGCCAACAAGCGTGTGAGGGGTTTGCCGAAATGGGTGGCGGGGATGCGTGTGATCACAGCCACTGGGGCATTCTGAGGAGCATCTCATGGGGCCACGGAGCGTGTGAGGGGTGTGCCGAAATGTGTGGCGGAGACGCGTTTGATTACAACCACTGCGGCTTCCGAGGCCCCTTATGGGGCCAACAAACGTGTGAGGGTGTGCACTGCGGCCTTCGGTGGGGCTCCCTGTTGGGCCACGAGACGGGTTAGGGGTGTGCCAGAATGGGTGGCGGGGACGCGTGTGTGATCACAGCCACTGCGGCCTTGGGTGGGAATCCCTATGGGGCCACGAAACGTGCACGGGTGTCCCGAAATCCGCGGCGGGGACGCACGTGTTCACAGCCACTGCTGCCTTCGGAGGAGCTCCCTATGGGACCACGAAGCGCTGTACTGTGTGTGCCGAAATGGTGGACATGCGGAGGGCAGAGACAGGGATGGGAGGAGGAAGGAGGAGGAGGAGAAGGAGAAGGAACGCGGGGCGCTATCTCTTCAAAACTGGGATTCCACACCACAAGATGGTTGGGAACAACACTGACCCTCACAGCGGAATCCCACTTTAGGCACGCACCCAGGCATGGCGAACGATCATTCGGGCCCCTCACTCGAATCATCATACCGTCATGGCATGGTGTTGGACGAAGCTAGAGCATGTAGCAGCACTGTGTGCACCCATCGATGTGCAATCCTCATTGCCTGAAGGCTGTCACTACTCAGGCTGCGCTATTTCGGATCGCTGGCAACGCTGCCACTGGCTGTGCGTCCGATTATACAACACAACTCGCTTGCACGAGGCAAGGCCCGGCTGCAAAACGCGTTGGCCGCAGGGGAGCATCTATGAGCACGGGATCAGCAACGGACGCGAGACCATGAAGTGCACACGCCCTAACGATCTGCGAAGTCCGTCGATCGGCAAGCTGGGATGCATGATGAATAAGGTACGCGCACAAGTTGGATCACTATGCTGGAAACTGGGAGCCGTCACGCGGAATGAAGAACTCGTGCCTGTTTCGGCACGAGTGCCATGCGATGCACGTAGTTGAAAACCTGTGCAACGCATCTGCTAAAACGCTTGCGACCTCGAAACCATTAACTGATACGAAGCTGGCTTCCGGATGGATATGGCCCGCTGGCTAGAGAAGTCAACTGCACAAGCTGGGCATTTCCCTTCACTTCCCCACCATCTTCCTCCTTTCCACCATCGTTATCATCTTCCATTGGAAATTCATCCCCCCTGTGCATCCCACCAAAACATGGTCGGCCCACGAGGCTCACGAGCCAGACGCACTGGCTCCGAGGCCTGCCTCGTCCACACGCCTGTTTCTTCGAGGTGCGCGATCGATGGCCCTCCGATGAGGCAGACATCTCCGCCTGCCTGCCGAGCCGCTGCCTTCCACTTCCCTTGCGCCCCATCTTCGCCGCCCTTGACCCTCGCAGCAGAGGAGGCCTTGGGGTCCTTCGCACCACCAGCAGAGGCGTTGGCGCTCGAGGCGTTGGCGTCAATGCCGCCTGCGCCACTGCCGTCCACATCCTTGCGGCCTGCAGCCGAGGGACGGGACCCGACGAGTACGGAAGGTACTTAACAAAACCAGAGGGGTCCAAACAACGAAGCGGCAGCAGCACATCAAGTCTAGACCTCGCTCACGAGCTCGCCGCTGCATGCGAAGGTGACAGTATGAGCGTTACCGAAAGCGGACATGGAATCCAACTAACTCTCTGTGCGTAGGTAGTTTGAGGAGTTTGTTCTTCCAACCCCCGCCTTGGGAAGGGGCCACACCTCCACCGACCCCGCGTCGCAGCCCTCCCTCCTTTACCCTTGGACTGGGTGTGGCTGGGAGGGCCGAAGCTGCTCTGACGAGTTGCAACCTCTGGCGACACTGGCTGAAACTGCCTTTGGGGCCCTGCAGGGGCTCTGGTTAGACCTCTGCGGGGCTCCCTTTGGGCTTTGTGGTGGGGTGGCACCTTGGGGACTTCTGGAAGGCCTCTGTAGACAAGCGCGTTCCGCTACTCGCAAAGGAACTACTAGCAAATGGCATGGATCCGACGCGGGGGATCTACGATACATTACATCGAAACGGACACCACTTTGCGAGTAGTGGAAAGCGCTCGGTGAGAGTGCTTTGGGGAGCGTCTTAGGGGGGCTCGTAGCGGCCTCTGTGGCTCTCGTTCCTGTTTTCAGTGTGCCTCTCGGGGGGCGCCCGTCTTCAGGCATTCTTCGGGCCATGCTGCGGCCATCGTGAAGGCTGAACAAAAACACATCGGAAGCGAAAAGGCGAGAAGACAAAACAACCTGTTGTTTCACTTGCGTATTTGACAGGTTTCTCTAGGGGACCATCTCGGGGCAGCTCGCAGCCATGCCGGGACAGACCTGGAGGCTGGCCTGGCGAGTCGTGTCAGGTCTTGCCTCGTCTTGTATTATCTCGCGTATCAAAAATCGCCGTGTCTTGTTTTCACGCAAAATTCAATTTAAGACCACCGCGGGCCAACACCGCTTGAGTGCAGGGCCCGCGGCGGACGTTTCGCGCAATCCTGTCACATGATTCCTTCTCTGGAGGGCACGGGGCGATTCAAGTTCTTGCTGAATGTCAGCATGGGCAAACGAGATTCTCGATATCAACCAAACCTCCCAACGTTTTGGAGATGCTTCTGGCGATGCTTCTACCTGTTATCAGTGGTCGCGGCCTGTCGTAAAACTCAATAAAGCAGAACTGACGCTGTCCGGCAACCCACGAGTCGGGATCCTGCGGGGGCTCCCGTTGACATCTTCCCCCTCCTTTCCACATCCTCATGCCTCCTCCTTCCCGAACAAAGCAAATGCCGCAGATCACTCCTGGAGACATCCCGCACTGCTCACTCGCAAGCGCCTCCAAGCAAACCTGACCGCAACCTGGAGGACCTGTGGAGGGGGAGGGAGAGGGAAGGAAGAGGAGGAAACGGGGCAGGTTGCGGAGGGAAACGAGATGGGGGAGTGGAGGAGGACAAGCAGCAGTAATAAGAGGATCAAGGAGGTGGGGGAGGGGAGGGATGGCAGCATGAGAGGTAGGGGGAGAACAATTAGGAGGCGGCACAGGGGATGCAAGCCAGAGGTAAGCATGGAAGCAATCAGAGCTCAATGGCCAACTCTGGAAACCCTGACATGCCATCTTTGGGGGGCGCACCGTCCACTTCTGCAAGCTTCCGCCCGCCTTCCGCTTGCCTCCGCCGGCGGAGCCGCCCTCGTTCTACTTCCGACGGCCTTCCGCCGCCTTCCGCCGAGGAAGAGGCATCACCTCCCAGTTTCCTTCCGCTTGCTTCCGCCTTCGGAGCCGCCCTCGTTCTACTTCCGACGGCCTTCCGCCGCCTTCCGCCGAGGAAGAGGCATCATCTTCCAGTTTCCTTCCGCTTGCTTCCGCCTTCGGAGCCGCCCTCGTTCTACTTCCGACGGCCTTCCGCCGCCTTCCGCCGAGGAAGAGGCATCACCTCCCAGTTTCCTTCCGCTTGCTTCCGCCGGCGGAGCCGCCCTCGTTCCACTTCCGACGGCCTTCCGCCGCCTTCCGCCGAGGAAGAGGCATCACCTCCCAGTGTCCCCGAACACGAGGCCTTTTTGTGGAAGACCCCAGCTGGCAGCGCACGGCCATGGCGGGCACAGCGAGGGAGCGCGGAGGCCTTGGCACCACCGGCTCCCTCCACAGCTCGCGCAGCGATCCTGCCGCGAAGAGAGGCGCTGCGACGCCCAAGAGGAGTCCAGAGGCACAGAGCGACCATACGGGTAAAGGACCACCTCGGGCTAAGGCTCAGGAGGGGCTCTGGTTTTCGGGCCGTTCCTTAGATCGACGCTTGGGAACCTAGTCGAAGCCGAGGCTCGCCGTGGCCAGAAAAAAGCCAACTCGTTCCTTATTCAGTGTTCCGTGTGGCAGCACGTTGATTGTGCGAGTGCGTGAGACTAGTATTCTCCACACTGCGTGAGCTGGCCCAGCCCGCGCGCCCTCGCCTGACTTGTCCTACGCCGCGCCGCCGTGCGTGGGCGCGACGCCCAGAGGTGCGCAAGCCTAGACTGCCGGCTCTGCTTCCCGCGCCAGGGGAACAAAATAGCATGCGCGAGCCCGGGCCGCCCAATCGCACGCTCTGCGTGAGGTGGCGCGAGCACGCGGAGAGGCGCACAGAAGCAACCGCGCGCGGGCGCGCACGCGCGCCGCCTCCGAGCCCGCACGTGCACGTGCGCACTCGCCGTGAACGCGCACGTGCCGGCATCGGCCCGCTCCTCTGGAAGGAGGAGGAGGAGGAGGAGGACGAGGAGGAGGAGGAGGACGAGGAGGAGGGGCAGGAGGAGGAGGTGGAGGAGGTGGGTGCGGACACACTGCAGCGGCCAGTCCACGGGCACCAATGCGGTGATGAGCGGATACGCCTGCCCTCCAGGACAAGGCTGGACAACCAGAAGGCGCACCAGCGAGTGGTTCATGGTTGCGGTGGGGGCATGTTTTCGCCGACACAACCATGAAGGAACTACAATTCGGGGGAGAGGGAGGGGGAGAGAGAAGGAGAAAGAAAGAGGCATGCAGGCTAGAGCCCCTGAGAGCGCCGTTGGCTGCTCAGGGCCCTAGGCGGCCTGCGTCCCCAGCATACTGCAGCAGACGCTGCAGCTCATCTGCGAAGGCGGTGGGGGCATTGGATAAGGAAGCATTGGACAAGGAATCCAGGGTCTGGAGGCCAGTGGAACTCCAATCGCGGATTGGCAGAGGATATTACCGCCGCCCTCATCAGACAAGGAGCCCTCCAGGCTCCGCAGCCCCCCCGGACACAGTCCTTACCCGACGCCCCCACCGTAATGGAGGATCCGAGCGGTCCCAGGGCGAGCAGCGCAGGCGCAGGGAGGGCCGAGGGTCCGCGCCAGGGGGGGGAGGGGGACGGGGGGGCGACAGCAGCGTCGAACTGGAGCCGCGGCGGAGAAGCCACGACCTGCTGCGTCGGGGCAGAGGGCGAAGGCCTCCGCAAGAGCAGGGGCCCAGACGAGACGCACCGACAGGCAGCGGCAACCGACCTGGACCCGTCGAGGCCCTTGCGCTGCCAGAGGGGACGGGGTGCTTCAATGAGGACGCACAGCGGCGCTCTCTCCCAGGAGCGTGCCGCAGCCCTGCCCGATGCGCGCCGCGTGCCGCGCACGCACCAGCCGCGTCTGCAAGCCGCAGTGCTCTGTCTGCCCGACTTCCGAGCAGGGAGGCCGGCGTGCACCCATCCAGTGGCATGGCAGCATGGACCAGCAGCGCTCGAAGCTTTGTCCGAGCCATGCCGCGGCGCCTCTTGGACCCAGCCTCGCTATTCCATGACTCATTCCTCCCCCCTACGGAAAAGGAAAGTCTCCACCACTACCCAGGCTTCATTTCGGCCCCAAACCTCGGCGGGTGCTGGGCTGGGCCAGGAGGCACATATCCACCAGTGCTTCCCCGACACTGCCCTGTGAAGACTCTGGTGGTGATGGTGGATGCTGTCCCTGCACTGCCGCCACAAGAGTCTCGTCCGATCCGGTTCGGCGCCTGAGCTCACGTGGCCGTCGCATGGAACTGGAATCGAGCCCCTTCGGCGGCAGAACGTACTCCTGGTCCTCCTGCTCCTCCTCCTCCTCCTGCTCCTGCTACTGCTCCTCCTCCTCCTCCTCCTCCTGCTCCTCCTCCTCCTCCTCCCCTCCTCCTCCTCCTCCTCCTCCTCCTCCTCCTCCTCCTCCTCCTCTCCTCCTCCCTCGTCCGCCTCCGCTCCTCCTCCTCCTCCTCCTCCTCCTCCTCCTCCTCCTCCTCCTCCTCCTCCTCCTCCTCCTCCTCCTCCTCCTCCTCCTCCTCCCCCCTTCTCCCTCCAATCCTCCTCCTATCCTCCTTGGTGGAATCGGTCACGTTTCGGTTGCCAACCTCTTCGAATGGCTGCGCTCAGTCGCCACATGGGCTCGGCAGGGCAACCCGGAGGCCCCGCTCCTGCTCCCTCCTCCTCCCCCCCCGGGACCCTCTCCGGCCCCCCCCCCCCCCCCCCCTTTCGCAGACATTCCCCTCGGGGAAGGGGGGGCCCCAGGCCCTGGCGGCGAACCTAGGAATGGCACTGCCGCAGCGAGCCATCAGAACAGCGGGGCCTAGCGTCTTCACTTACGGCGATGGGGCTAGGCAACACTGACGAGCGGGGACGGGGTCCCCCCATGCGAATACCGGGCGTGGCCAACGGCGAAAGATGCCAGAACGAGGCGGCGCCCGAACCCAACATCATCAGTTCCCCCGCCGGAATCAGCTTGCGCATCAAGGCAGGCAGCGCCACCCGGATCGGCCGAAGAGGTTAAGAGCAGGCAGTGGCAGCGGAGGCCATCAATGTGAGAAAATCATGAGCAACTCAGCTACAACGCTAGGATCAGCGAGTGCGGCACGGCAGCCAGTGGCAGCGGCGGCTGGCATTGCGAGAAGGTGGCAGGCACCCTCAGCTACAACGCCGGGATCAGCACGTGCGGCAAGGCCGCCAGTGGTAGCGGCGGCTGGCACTGCGAGAAGGTGGCGGGCAAGCTCAGCTACAACGCTGGGACCAGCACATGCGACAAGGCAGCACACAGTGGCAGTGGAGGCTGGCATCGCGAGAAGGTAGCAGGCAGCCCCAGCTACAACGCTGGGCAGTGGAGGCTGGCAAGGAGACAAGGCAACCAGTGGTAGCGTTGGCTGGCAGTGCCCTCAGACAACAGGCACCCTCGGCTACTACGTTGGGATTGCCGAGTGCGACAGAAAAGGCAGTGGCAGCAATGGCTGGCCATGCGACCAGGCAGGCAGTGGCAGCAACGGCTGGCTGTGAGGCAAGCAGGAGGCGTCATCCGCTACCATGTTGGGATCGGCGCGTGCGACACGACAGGCACTGACAGCGGCGCTGGCATTGCGAGATGTTTGCAGGCTCCCTCAGCTACAACTCTGGGATCAACGCGTGCGATAAGGCAGGCAATGGCAGCACCGGCTGGCAATGCGAGAAGACGGGCAGTGGCAGCAAGTGCTGGCACAGCGTGCAGGCAAGCAGGCATCATCAGATGCCATGCTGGGATAGGCGCGTGCGACGCGACAGGCAGTGGTAGCAACGGCTGCAAGTGCGAGTAGGCGGCAGGCACCCTTAGAGGTCAGCGCACGGCGCGGGTGCCCAGAATTTAACTAAATTGGCGCCAGGGGGCACAAATGCATCAACACACGTTCCAGGATTTCCCACATCGTTAATATTTGCTGAAATGTTCATTCCCTTCCATTTCTCATATCTGACCAAAGCTTCATGGAAAACCTCGCTCCCCGGCTCCCCAAGCAAGTGGGGTTTCTTCCTTGTTTTCTACGGAACTGGGCTGCTGTGGCGGACTGGCGGCTATGTTGACGCCGTCGCCGCCCCGTCGCCGCCTTGTCGCCGCCCGTCGTCTGGGCCGGTGTGGCGGCTATGTTGCCGCTATCGCCGGTTCGTCGCCGCCCGTCGTCTGGGCCGGTGTGGCGGTCTGGCGGCTATGTTGCCGCCGTCCCCGCCCCGTCGCCACCTCGTCACCGCCATTCGTCTGAACCGGTGTGGCGGTCTGGCGGCTATATTGGCACGGTCGCCGCCCCGTCGCCGCCTCGTCGCCGCATGAATTGCGCACCAGATAAATTCTCCTTTCTTCAGAAAGAATGAAAATTTACCCCCCCGGACTTAGTGGTAACCCTTTTCGCATTGTAATTTACATATGAGTCTGCCCCATCGTCCATCCCACATTTGAACTCGTACCATCCCGACCAGGCTGGTACCGCCCCCCCGTCATCCTCTGCAGAAGTTGCTACGCGCGCGCAACAATGTTCCACAATCCTGTGAACAAAAAGTGACGAAATGCACACGCGCGCGCCGTCGGGCGCGCATGCCGAAATCCTTCGAAAACTCATGGGTTCATAAAGATTTGAAAAGCGGCTGTCCCGGAAACGTATATATATATATACATACATAAATACATACATATGTGTATACATATGTATGTATGTATGTATGTATGTATGTACGTACGTACGTACGTATGTATGTATGTATGTATGTATGTATGTATGTATGTATGTATCCGCCGGCCCCCCTGTGGGGCCACCAAGCAGTAGGACCAAGGTTTGCTGTTCCCTGCGCCAATTCCAGTTTCCAGTTTCCACTGTTACAATTCTGTTTTTTGCTGCGAACTGTGCCTTGTTGATGGACCGCGCGAGGGGGGGGAGCCGAAAAAGAACCTAGTTGCCACGCCCGAATCGGGTGCTCTGAATTCTTGGGGGGGGGCGTGGGACACATGAAAATACATAAAATTCGCGCCCCCGAAGCCATACACTCTCACCCTCCTAGATTATACAATATTCGCGTCCCCGAGGCCATAGACCCTCGTAAAATAAGCAATGCTCGGGCCCCCGAAGCCATCAACCGTCACAAAATACGCCGTATTTGTCTCCCCGAAACCACAAACCTTTGTAAATTATGCGATGCTTGCGTCCCCGAGGCCACGAACGCTTGTAAATCACGCGATGCTCGCGCCCCCGAAGCCATACACCGTCGTAAAGTATGCAATTTGCGAGTCTCCGAAACCATAAAACTGCGTAAAGGATAAATGATGCAATGCTTGCGACCCCGAAGCCATACACCCTGGTAAATTACGCACAAATTGCGTTTCCGAAGCCATACGCCCTCGCCAATTACACAATGCTAGCGTTTCCGAGACCATAA